CTGGGCTGATAGTGAACATATCGGTACACTGAATTTTCTGTCATTTTGTCAAGACCTTTAAATGTGAACTGCTCAGACCCTGTTGTATTAATGCATTCCTTTCCATTTTTCTGATCTGTGACTGTCATCAGCTTGTTACCTGTAACAGCCTGTCTGAATATTTTCAGCTTTCTTTCATCAGACATTTTGATTGTTTTCTGATCTTTCATCCATGAGAGACTTGGTTTATATTGTATACATGACTGTATTACCAGGCATCTTTAAGATAAATGACATAAGTTGCTTGTGTTAATTAATAAACTGATGACTGGCCATTTCAAGGGGAGGGGAGTGTAGCACTTTTCTCTGCGTAGGATAGGAACTGTAGCAGCCATAAGCATCCAGTATTTAGGGACCTGATAAAAGTTTCTGCGTGGGCTGTGTTTGTGCTGGTGGAAATAAGATGCCTGTGCTTACAGCATTGGCTGTTTGCATTCGTGGTTTGTTATGACTCCTAGCGATCGAGTTGAGTTGAATCCAGGGGAGTTGAGTTTATATTGGTGTGTTCATAGCCCTAATTAGTGGAATGTTTTCATTGGGTCCAAGATCTCAGTGGAGACTGTGGTCTACGAAGAAATTTTAATTAGGTGTGTGTTAATTTGAGTAGAACTTCAGTGTGTGGAAGGATTTCTTTGTGACACGCTACCAAACCAAATGTTCAGTAAGCTTGACTGCTCTTAATCTCCCTGAAAGCTAGATGGTTAACCACAATTTGGTTAACTAACTAGATGCAAACTCTGGTGGTTGTGAATGCTTGTCTGCTATCAATTCTGAATGCCCTTATCTTACATGGTAACCTGTGAAGGCTTCTTCCACAGGGGTGATTTCAGAGCAGTGTATCGGTGACACTCTGAAGAGTGCCAGTGATGGCACAGTGCCTGAGGGTTCTGAGCTGGGACAGGGCTGCATTACCTGCAGTGATGTAGCTCTGTCACCAGTTCTGTGTCACCTGGCAGACGTGCCCGGTGGTATTACGAAGAAATCACAGCTTGGCATCTTTAGATCTTCTTAAGCTCTTGGAGAGAGCTGCACCTTCAGAGTTAGGGAGGTCTTATTCCTTCACAGCAAGTAAGCTAAAACAGTATTAAGTCAATAAAGCTGATTATTATGTGGTGATGCTGTGTAAGGAATATGTTGAGTACATCAATAGTCACTTAATGGAGGAAGCAGTGATCCTGCACGTCATCTTCCTCTTCTCCTAGAGGAACTGTCACCCTTGGAACAGTTTGGTTACCAGGAACTGCAGTACTTAGTAGTATTGCTGACCATCTCTCCAGAGCAAAAAGGACATCACTGTAATGAAGGCCAAGGTACAAACAGGATTTTTTAGACTGGTGCCAGCTGAACAGGTGGATAGAAACTCTGAGAGACTCCGCCTTGCAAAGAGTTCAGAGATGCCGAGCAGGTTTTGAGGTGGAGAGACACGTGGCAGGTCCATGGTGATAAAAGCAGTTGTGCAGGGCTCTGGGGGGAGAAATGAGCTCTGTTTTAGTCCCATTTAGTTGTGAGCTGACAACTTAGCATTGACAAAGATGTCAGACTGAGACCGTTCTTTGAACATAAGGAGGCAGATCCTGAGCAGAGACGCAGATCTGAGTAGTCAGTGCAGTGATGGGAGCTTGAACTTGTTTTGCAGATGATATCCCTGAGACAAGATACCGAGGACAGAGAGACCTGAGAATAGAGAGCCTTGGTGAAGAATGAAGATCCATGATGGGAAAAATAAGAAAAGATTAGTAAGTAAGATTAGTAAGTGCAGTAAGAATACGAGTGTCTTGTCCTATTTCAAGAGTAGGAGGATTGTCTGAAAAGGAAGATGCGGCTGGAGAGTTTTCATTGAAGTGTGGGAGCTGGTGAGAGAGTTCATGTAGTCGGGGTAAAACTGCTCCAACAACACTAGAGATGAAGTAGAAAGAGGTGAAGAGGCACAGGTGGGGTTTTTTTTCCTATTATTTTGATGGTTGATGTGAAAAATAAAGGCATCTTCCTGCAGAAGAGTTAAAGCAGAGGAAGGCTAGATGAGATGGTCAGAGGGAAATACTGGGGCTGCAGGCAGTTGGACAGGAATGGGATTAGCTGGCAGTTGATGGGATCAAGGAGGATGTATGGGAGAAGGGCAAATGTTTATCTTTGCCCTATGTACCTTGCAGACCTTCCCTTCCTAAAGCACTCTTCTCTCTCAGTCTCCTGTGATGATTTTTTCCTCTTGAGAGGAACTAAGGCTGAGTAAGCTTGAGGAATAGAGCAGTGGGTAAGTGTGACTGAAATATGACTCAAAATTCAACCTTCTCTAGCTGAAGTATTTAAATACATGGAAGAGGTGGAAGAAGGATGGCAAATCCTGGCAGATGTGGAAAGAAGAGGAAAAGAGCTACAGCTGGAGGTGATCCATGTGGATTTTATTGTGGCAGAGGAGGCCAAAGAATTCAAGGTAGTGGGAACAGCCACCATATCAGTGAGTGTGGGAGTAGGGGGCTAAGGGTGAACAACTGACAAATGTTGTAGCCTCTCTACCACTTCCATGCAGTCACATTAGGATTTAAGGAGCTCATGTCTCATGCTGTAAGACAACAGAGGCAGGAAAAGTGTTTCTGAAGCAGTGAAAGAGGCAGAGGGAAGAAAATGAGCAAAGAAAAACATGAAGTTGAGACAACAGTAGGACATATGAAAATGAAACTTGCTGGAAGTATCTGTAAAGGATTATGTAGTTCCTGTCTTCCCAGGCTGTAGGGAGAAGTATTTTTTTTTCCTTTTGCTTCACTACAGTTCCAGTGAGTTAGAACAGTGACTTCTTTAGATTAAGCAGATCTGTACTACCCACTGCCTGTGTGTGGCAAGCAGTTCTCTGTACCATGTACAAGCAGCCAATGTCTGTGCAGACTCTTTTCTTCCTGCACAAATGCTGAGGGCATCTTGCTTGTTTTATGCTTGAAAGGGAGGCTTGTTCTGTGGCTTGGACTCAAAACAATGGGTTTGATTTTATTTTATTTTTCTTTTCTACTCCATTAGCTGCAAAAAATACATAAAGCACAGCAGCTCTAAGTTCATTTAATTTGATTGCTAGAAGTCTTCGTATGTTCCAAGTAAATATTTGGTAATTGTTTTACAAAAGAATATTTTTTTGCCCACAGTCAGAGTATGTACAAGAGAAAGGAAGTTCTGATACAACTTCTTGATGAAAAATTCACTGCCCCTGTTCCCCACCCCCTTTAGGGTGCTTTTTGTCTCTCACTTGTTTGAAAGGAGAGCAATGAGAGGGGAGTCCAAGGGATCAGAGATAACCTGACAGCACTGAGGAGTTAGTGAATTCTGGAAGTAAATTGTGTGGCCTCTGAATGGCAAAATGAATGAATGGTGGCTTCTTGTGGTTCTGGTGGTTGTAATTCATCTGGTATGCTTAATTCTCCCACCCCTGCTTACGTGCTCATTCCGTGTCCCCTGGGCATGTGCTCTGCCTTCCCCTGGCCTGCCACGCTGGCTGCCTGAGGTGGGAGTTCCTTGGAAGCCGTGCCCACGGTGCTTGTTGGGTGTTCCCAGATGGTCAGAGGGCTTCCATCTCTCACTGTTTGGCCATTTCATTGGATGAGCTGCACCTCCCTGTGCTGCAGGGCCAGCTGGTGTTTGTGGCTGGACAGCTGGAGTGGCCCCGTGGATCTGGCAGTCTCGGGGTGAGGAAGGAGTATTGGAAGTGGCACACCTCATGAGAGCTTTGTTTTCCTGTGCCTTGCTTAATTTTAAACTCCCATAAAATAACCTGATTCTAAGGCAAGTCTCCACTTCAAGATGGTCATACCACTTGAAAGAAGCTTGCTGTCTTAACTTTTGAAGGCTGCTGAGCTGGTTGCTCTTGCTGACTAGAAGCACAAACTCCGTGATTTAAGGACTAATGTAGGTGGATTTTTCTCTCTGTTTTTTTTGTCTAAATTTTCTTTGACTGGCATCTTTCTATTTGCTTTGCCTACTTCAAGAGCTAGCTTATTCAAAGCTGAGAAATAAATCAGCTAAGATAATGAAGAAGCAGGAAGGTTTGCTCTCCTCTTTTATAAGGGGGGTAAACTCCCTGAATTTAAGATATTGTAGCCTAGAAACGTAGAATCGTATGAACAGAAGTAGATTGCTAGGCTGAAGATCGTGGTTTAATAAAAATCAAAACTTACATGTAAGGTACTGGGGACACAGGTCACATGTGCACCCACCCACAGGGACTTCACAGGATTTTTGCTTTTGCTTGGATGCGACATGAAAGCTGAAGGACATTCTTTTGGGATGTCACAAGATCATGCTTTGTTTTTTAGCATAAACTTGAATGAATGTACAGGTCTTTGCTTAAATCTGGATAGGGATAGTGTCTTTGGAGTTTAGAAGGTGCCAGATAAAGAATATCTTCAACAGGTTTTCCAAATAGTGATGGATTTTACTGACTCGGTAGGAAAACTGCCAGTCCAAGAGCAATATTAACCTTAATTTCTTTGAATTTGGGGAGTGGTTGTGGTCTGCTTGCTTGGTAGAAAAAAAGTTAAACTGCTCTCGTGCTTCTAAACTGTAACTGAGTGATTCTTTCTGAGGTCTTGCACACGAAGGCCTTGAAGCATGCCAGAGAGCAGGAGTAGATGGCATAGTTGGGAGCAAGAGTTTATTCCTCCTCAGCTTTCTGGTGGTGAGCTTTTGTTCTACCTATAGCTAGGAAAAACTGGAGATGGGAAACAAGATGTGAGCCAGAGAGGAAACTGAGTAATAGCTGGGTCCACGTTGTGAGTTCCTCTGATGGGGCTTATTTATTACAGTGTCTAGTGGAACCTCGTATGAAAGAGTTTCAAACTCACCCCTTGCGCCATAGAATTGACTTCCACAAACTGTTGCAGAGGAAACATCTGTGGATGGAAAAACATCCTGTGACACATAATACAAGGAAAGAGAAGTGAACTGGCCCACTCTATCCTTGTTTGTATTGCAGGTATAAAATGCAGTGTTTGTGCACATGCTTGATGTGGGAGTTATTGATGCCTCTTCTCTTTTCCCCTTTACAGGCAAGGTGATATGAACTTCCTGGTTCTCAAAACAGCACTGATGTCGCTTGTCCTCCTTCTTTCTTCCCTTTACCTTTCCCATGCAGTCAAAGTATCAGCAGTAGAGGTCAACACGCCGGAGGAGATGTTTGTGGAGAACGGGACGGATGCGAAGCTCCCCTGCACGTTCACGTCCGTGGAGGTGATCAGCAGCGCAGCGTCTGTGTCCTGGAGCTTTCAACCAGAGGGAGCTGCAACTCGGATCTCAGTAAGGAGGGGCTGCAGGGGGACAAACCTGGGAGGGGAGGCTGCCAGAAGTGTGCAGTGGTTCTTCTAGTTGGTTCTAAGGAGCAAGAAGATTATGGATTCGAGCCTCCTTCAGTGAGTGTAAAATACACCAGCTACTTTGTTAGTCTGAGGAGAGGAGTGTTGGTGTGGTAGCACTATGTACGAAGCAGATGAGCATCTAGGAATCTTCTAAGTTCTCTATCCTCTTGCACTTAAAATGAGTGGTTGGAGGATTTGAATTATCACTGGAATTGCAGTGTTACATTGTGTTGTGCTCGTTGCTTATTTTGCTTGTGTACTGTACAGCCTCTGTTAGAGGGGGCTTGAAGTAACAGCAGTCTCCCTGGTTTCAGAACAGAATTGAATGGCTTAAATCAGTGAGCAGTTACATCCTCATATTATAGTTATATGACAAGTAAAAAGCCAGGCTAGCAAGGAACTTAGGAAAATATTTGACATCACTCATTTCCTGTATGTTGAGCCCAAGTGGGCTCAGATCCCTTGGGTGTGAAACCTTAAAAGAAATGGCTTTGATAGGTTGTTAGCTGTCTTCTTCCTCTGTTGCATAAGCTGGGCACATCTGAGCTCTCTGACAATTCTACTTCCTTCTGGTTCCTTGTCCTGAGTGAGAATTCAGAGGAAGCTGAACAAGGGACTCTGGGGCAGCAGGGAAGATGTGGGGACAGCAGGGTGTTCAGCCTGTCTGCTTCCCCTCTGCTGCAGACATGGGATCACTTAAACTCTAGGACCCCTTCAGTGCTCAAAGCAGAGATGATCCAAAACACTGTATGAGCATCTTGCTCAGTATATAGAGCTCTGAAGAACAAGCTTCTCAATTTTCAGTGAAATAAATATTTAGTTTTGAAAAGGGTGCTTTTCTCCTTGGGAAGCCAAAGCAGTAGTTTGTCAAAAGCTTAAGAGAGTAGGGCACATTTCCTGCTAACGTTGAACAGAGTGGGTGAAATCAAGCCATCTGTTTGTACATTTTCCACTCCCCATATATCCTTCCATGCCCTTTCAGCATCACTGTCCAGTTGTGAAAATACAACTTCAGGAGATAACAGTTTTTGGAAGTGTAGCCAGTTCAGACATTCCACATGAATGTTGTTATCAGCACAATTGAGTGAAAAGCAGAAGTGGCCCAGCATGATCTAATGTTCATTCCTCTGTTTCTTTTGAGGGGCTGGGGGAAGGATAGAGGGAACATTTTTCTTTTATGAGCCCAAGTCATATCATTACATATCTTGGTGGGCTTTAATTTGAAAGACTGGTTTCATGATTAGCTCATGTCTGAGCTAAGTCCATGCTCCTCTTGGCGAGGATGGTCCTGCCCCTCTTCAGAATCACATTGGCAATCTTATGGCCACGTGGTGAGGCTGACTTGACCAAGAGCTTCCCCTCCTTGTCCCCTTCCCCTGACACATGTCCAGGGATAGAGACATCTCTGCGTGAACGAAACATCTGATCACAGCAGAGTTTCACAATCAGCTCGAAATCACAACCAGTCAAAATCTGTCAGTTTTAGGTTTCAAAAGAAGCCTCATGTTAAATCGCTCAATCATAGGCAAGGAGTGGCTTGAGTCACTTAGCCTGTGTTTCAGGACATATTTTACTTTGTCATTTCTCCTCCCCCAGGTGAGGACACCTAGAGAGCTGAGGAATCTACCTCTTGCCTTCTAGACTTCCGGTCGGATGACTTCCCCTGTGCACAGGGGGGTGGTAATGCAGTGCTGCTGTGCTAAAGGTTATAATCCAGCTGGAAAAGCTGCAGACTGATGCAGTTCCTCCAAAATGTTGAAAGATGACTGTGTGCTAGCAGACTTCCTTCCACATGAGACAGTTTGTTGGATTTATGCTAATCTGTAGACCTCTCTTAGGGGATCCCGTGTGTTTGAAAGCAGAGGTGTCCTGTAGAAGTCTGTGCACTTCTACTGCTGTAAATTCCAATTTTGGTCAGGTATAGTTAGGACACATGCAGTTTCTCCCTAGACTGTACTACGCAGGTTCATTCTTCAAGGATTTTTGGTCTTGTCTGGGTTGTGCAGGGCCAATGTGCAACTTACTCATCAAAAAACTCAGAAACGGTTCTATTTAGTTACTTGAAGGTTTCTGGAAAACAGCTAGATATGCTCTGCATTGCTCATGGGATCTTTTTGGGGGGTAGAAGGAAGGAGGATGTTGCATGTTAATTTAGCTGTGCTTTAGTTGCAAGTAACACACAGCAAAACACGAGATAGGAAACTTGGTATCCTTTCCCTATGAGGATGCAGGCGGCTTCCTGTGCCTAAAAGATAGATGGCTATGTTCCAGAACTGTTCTGTCCTTTAATTATTCCCAGGTTACCAGTCTTTTTCTCCCCCCCCCACCCCGTGTGCAAAACTCTATGTCCCTCAAAACAGGAAAAAAAAACCAAACAACAAAACAATCGAACCACAAAACAAGTCAAAACCAACAGAAAACTGGAACTTGTGGTCTGCTGTGCTGGTAGGGTTGAGGTATAAGCCATAGCATGATTATGTGATCAAGAGGCAACAAGCCAGACTAAAGTGGTGAGGCAGGAGGAGGGAAAAAATTTTCAAATATGTGTCATTCAGATGGTTTTGAGAGAATGCTGTAACAATGAGAGAAGCGTGGTAGCTCTCTAACTGGATTGTTCTTATATCCTCTTTTCCTTGACTACAGTTTTTCTATTACTCTAATGGAAAATCATACCCTGGAAAGGACATACCATTTAAAGACAGGATCACTTGGGCTGGAGATCTTAACAAGAAAGATGCTTCTATCACTATATCAAACATGCAGTTCCGGGACAACGGCACATACATTTGTGATGTCAAGAACCCACCTGACATTGTTGTCAAACCAGGAGAAATCCGAGTTAGAGTTGTGGAGAAAGGTATTCACCCTATATGGTTTTTTTTCCTTCCCACCTTTTTTTAATTTTATTTTATTTTCCCCCTCCCTTGTCTGTGTCACTTTTATTGGGGGTGGGGGAGTAGCCTGGAGGGAACAATTATACTTTTAATTCTCTTCTTCCAGGTCCTAATGATTGAACCGAATATCTGTCAGCTGTTTAAAAAACTGAATGTCACACACTTTTCCTCTATACCCGTTAATTCCTATGCTTTGAACAATTATTAGCAAAAGCTGGTGGAAGCCTTGATGAAAACCTATCCTCTCATTTCAAAGTCCTATGAAAGTATTTCCTGCATTTCACTACATTAAGGGCTAGGATGACATTTGAAATCTGGGGAGCAAGGAGACAAAGTGGCAGACTCTTTCCTTTGGAACCCTTCTGGTATATATAATGGAATACAACACCATAAATCTGGCCCAAGTACCTACTGACAGTGAAATGCTGCTGTCTTCCCTGCAAGGGTGTTTGTGTTGGATGTACATTCAGTCTCTTCTACTGGGATGTTCTTTCAGTGGTGACCCTTATAAATGGCAAGGGCTGGCTGCTTGCAGCCACATAAGGCTTCTGGTTAGCATTTGGCAACATCACTCACAGTCCAAACACTTAGATTCTGTGTGTCAATTTGGCTCTTTATTTCCCTTGATCATCCGAAACATTTGATTGTTCTGCCTAAGCTGGAGGTCAGCCAAAGTGAGATGCTTCCTGCAATGAAATGATTCTTGCAGTGATTGGATTTCCAAACTCATAATTGAATAAGGACAAGAATAAGTGCTGAATTCTCAAATGGCAGTGCAGATGCAGCTGTTTCATGAGATTTTAGTATGTTAGGGAAGATACCTATGTGTATGCTCTAATCAGAATGATGCTGCTGCTATAGCAGGTGTGTACCCCTGCTCATGAGGTCATTCCATGTTTCTTTGTATTTAACTTTTCTCTTCATGCAGCAGTTTGAGTTGGACGGACCTCTGGAGGTCCAAGCATCACTTAGAACTTTCTGTTTCTTGGAAGTTTGAAGTCTATATAAAACAGGGGCAGTTTATTTTCTCACAGTGAAGATGGTCACCATGAAGAAGCAGTAAAGCAAAGTCAGGCTGTTCTTGGCAAAGCCTCTTCAGATTTTAACCCAGGTTAAGCAAATGAAGGCTGACTTAGGTCCACTAATTCAGCTGATATTTTTTCAACAGACTTGCACGCTGGCTTCCCCATAGGTGGGGCTCTGGACAAGAAGATCACAACGATTGTGGAGGAAACCTTGCATTCAAAATAGTTCTCATCCTGAGAAAAATGCTGCAACAGTTGTCTTCGAATTCTTAAGAAGGTTGTGAAAACAGGTTTTCAAGCTATAGCTGCAATGCTGTCTTGCATTCTGACTTCAGCTGAAAGTACTGCTCCTGTAATAAATAGGTCGTAACTCTAGTTGTAAAAGGCAACTACTTCACAGTGTGTTTGAGACAGCTGGTGTTGCCTGGAGGTTGTTCATCTTTGATCTGAAAGCACATGGGGTTAAAAATGAGAATTGTGTGAAAATCTTTATACTTAGGAGCAAGGGAAACTTCCCTTTCCTGCCTGTTTCATAAAACTGATGCTAACACGCTTTCAGCGAAAATGGAAATTGCTTTAAATTACAGTGATAATTAGTGGAAAGTGTTCTCTGGATGGCTGGATTTTTGGTTTGTGTTGAGCTGTTAACTAAAATGTTAGCTTTCAGAGCTGGTGTTCTGTTATGTAGCTGGGAGTATCTGTTATAATGAAGTCATTGGCTGCTCTGGAAGTACTTATGAGGAAATCATGTAACTGGAATGCTGGAAAATATAGGAAAAACATGGGGGCGAAACATTCTTTAGCTGAACTAAATGATCATAAAATTGTGTGAGCTCTTCTGTAGTCTGCTGGACCATGTTCTGAGAAGCAATAAAGCCATACTCTAGTTTCACATGCAAACAGTTGCATTTTTTTATATGGTCTTAATAACCTCTGTCAACAGAACGTAACTGCTGTCCATCACTCAGACTCAACAAACCAGAAACCCCCCTGAGTCAAAGTGACAACACCATCAAATTTTAACATTGTTCTTCCAGCAAACACTCTGCTCCCTAGTTTTGGATTGTTACTTGATTTCTTGCTCTGAAAACGTGTGTGTGTTTTCTTTTGTGGTGTACAAGGCAGCAGCTGCTCTGCTGACAGAAATGCATGTCTGTTTTGATGCTTTTGCAGGCAGTTATTCCTGCACTTTTGGAAAGGTGAACAAGCACAGAAAATAGGGAACTCCTACTTCTTATGTGCCTCAAAATAAATTTATTTTTGCATGGGGCTCAAATAAAATCACCTGAAAAATATTACCATCTGTAGGACTTTCTTCCTTAATAGCAGAAGGATCTCTGGGCTGCTGAAGGTTCTGAAAAGAAGGGATGTCTTCTTTTAAGTTGTGGCACTGTCATGGTTTGAGATAGCCCCAAAATCCAATTCCCTAGCTCCAT